TGGAGGAGGCCTGACAGATGAAGAATTGTGGAAGTGGTATGCCCTCCTGATGAAGAACCTGATGAAGAACCTAATGAGGGAATAACAATTTGACCTGCTGTATCGGTTAAAGAAGCGTTAGGGGGAGTTAGTAGCGCAATAGAATTTCTGGTAAATCCTCCCGAGGATTTTGCTTCTGATGTTAAAATGATATTAGAATTGCGTAAAGTGCAGAGTCAATTATGTGATGAAATAAAAATCCATATTTCAAAATAGATATGATTGTTATTTAATTTGTTATACCGATATAATGAGGTTTGACTGTATATATCAGCGATTACCATCTGATAATAACGATAAATTATGAATAGACTCGCGTTTAAATTTCTCAAACGAATATTATACAAAGCTAATAGTTCATCAATTATTTCTTTTAGATGTTGCTTTGATCTTTCTTTTTTTAACAGCTTTAGGCATTTTGTTCTTTCGTCGTTCACGAGCTTCTTCTTTAGAAGCCCTTTTACGCTCCTTAACAGGTGTAAAAAGATTGATGTCACTATTGAGAACGCATTTTCAACTACAAAACCATAAACAACTCACTTTCTTGGCTTCTTTGTCTTCATGTCTCTTTCCTCTGGGTGTTTTCTTTGTTACTTGTTCATGATCATCATCTTGCTCTTCATCCTCATCATTATCCTCAACCCCACTTTCTTCTTCAGAGTTGCTCTCGTTTTCTTCTTCATCATTATCTTCACTGTTCTCTGACAGTTCGTTCTCTTCGAGCATCCCGGCCTCTGCCATTTCCTTAGCAGTTCTCTTATCGAATATGGATAAGCCCATCAATCTGCGATATATAAGCTATGCAAAAAATAGTCATTAGTAGAGCTCAGGGATGTAGAAAACTTTTCAGCATGGCATATTTCTGTGAAATGTCAAACAATTTACTTCATCTTCATCACCCTTAGGCACTTTGAAAGCATCTCTTTCTGCGTCCAATATTTCGACCATTGTTCGCGGTATATAAGCGTTCTTGAACACCTCTTCTTCCACTTCTTCTAGATTTTGTCGATCGATTTTTTGTTCACGGGTCATGTCAATGTCTGATTCTTGCTGTAGTCTTTCTTGTATCTTCAGGGTGAATGCGTATATACGAAATTTCATTTCCACAAAGAAAGAGAAATTATCGGTTCATACATGCAATCAAACCTCGAAACTAGTCTCAACAACAGCACTGAAATCATAACACACAAACCTTGTCTAACTCCTCCTCCATCTCCTTTTCTTCAATACCAAAACTCAAATCTGTGATAAAGTCGAATAACTGCCGAATGCTCATCACTCTTACATGTTTCTTTTTGAAAAAATCAGTAACGTTGGTGCAATCCTTTCGTAGGAAATCCAGTGCATATGGATGGTCATGCTCCACCGATTGAGAAACGTCGATAATGTATAGCTTACGAGAGTTATATCTGCATGTGGTAAAGAAAAGGTTAGAGAAGACGATTACTTTGATGATGATAGTTTTAGCCGTAGTGACAAACTGGCGGTATACTTACAGGAGGTTATATTCGCTCAAGTCAGCGTGGACTAAGCGACATTTGTGAAACATTATCCGCATGTATTTTATTAATTGATAATACAACTCTGGATACCTCGCTGCTCCGATATTCGCATCTTTTAGCCTTGGATACGCCCTTTATACCCATATGTAAGTCTTTTTAATTTCTCGTCTCCAACTAATATCTGTCTATAACTTCCACCAAATAGCCTCTCTCGTTCAATGCTTTCAATGTACTCACCACCCGCGCTCATTACCGAGAAATTCCATAACCAACACATGCATTTTTAAACAAATAGGTTCCGGACACGGTATTCCAGCCTGCTGGAGTCTTTTCAGGTTACGCATTTCCTTCTCTGCCCATAGCTTCACCATTTTACGGGGATTATGTCTGCTGTATCCATGACGAAACCTGAATTCGCCTGTGACGTATCTGTCGCGGTCTTTAAAAATTAGGATCGAAGTTTTGTAGACTTTTATTGCCCTTGCGCTCGTATCGCTTGTTGCGTAGTATACATTTGCCTTTTTTAAGAAAAGATTGGTATTTAATGAACGGTTTCAAGCCAAAGATTAATGACTACGGGGAATATTGATTAACAGGCCACACTACCTCTTTTCCGGTACTGATACAGCCATGTATTTCAGAAATAACGTTCTGGTTAATAAGCCGCAATAATATTATACGTGTTCGTGGGTCCAACACTTGTTCTGCTGTTGCTCGATCTGATTTATCTGTAAATTTCTGTCTTTGATTAACGAGAGCAGTGTCAACAAAACCCTGTACAGGATAAAGCAAGATTGTATATATCTAGTTCATCCTTACTTGTCGCCTTGCTTCTTCCTATCACTTAGTTTGATATCATTTATAACAGATACTGCCAATTGTGTCTCAATATCTTCGTGATCTGCCATGTTTAAGTAGAAACTCAAAAAATTAATCAGCCACGAGCCAAAAATGTCGATCTTCATGAAAATGATGTACCACGTGATAATTAGTCAATTTGGAAAGCTATTTTCGTGCCTTTCGTCATTTAACAATCGTAATTGTGATTATTGTATTGTCGGTGATGTAAGATCTTTATTGACAACTACAGGAAACTGCTAACGCATTCCAGAAATAAACAAACTTTTTGGGAAGAGTGGCGGAATAATAATCCAAAACATAATAAAGACCTTGGAAGAAAAAACAACGCCCCATTGGCTTGCACTGGCCCTCAAAAGAGAGAAACGCATGAACAAAAATCTTGAAGAACTAGAAATAGCGTTGTGAAGAATTGTTGAAACAAATTTCGTATTAACAAAATCTGCCCAATTAAGCTTTCCTAATTAAGCTTTCTTGAAGAAATTAAAAAGTTGGGCAATTTTTTTTTTTGCGCACGACTGCATATTAACGTATACTATACAATACACTCAGTGGAAAAAAGTCACCGGACACTTTGTATATTTAAACATTAATGCAAAATGTGAATATTTTTTAATAGCTTGTTGGACCCCCACACCTCTCAATACACTCATGAACACGTCTAGGCATACTATCGATCAACTTCTTATAGGTTTTCCTGGGAATAGTTTCCCACTCTTCTTTTAATGCCAGATATAATTCGTGCTTATTTGCGGGGCGTAAATTTCGTTTTCGTACTCTTCTTTGTAGTTCACCCCATAGATTCTCAATCGGGTTTAGATCAGGTGATTGTGCGGGCCACGTTGAGAGAACTTTAACCTGTTTCTGAGACATCCAGTCCTTTGTATCTTTGGCAGTATGGATGGGTGCATTATCTTGCTGAAAAAAATAACGGCGATGATTGAATTTCTTGTGAATCCATGGCAATAAGTTGTTTTCCAAAATTTGTATATATCCAAAGCGATTTAATTTGCCTTCTACTAGTACCAAAGGACCCAATCCTGTCCCACAGAAACATCCCCATACCATCACGCCACCTCCACCATGCTTTACTGTAGGTACAAGATTTTCCAGGTTAAATCTTTTACCATTTTCTCTCCAGATGCGCTGTGGGCCATCACTAAAGAGACAAAACCTGGATTCATCACTCCAAATAATTTCATTCCATTCTTTTATTGACCAATCGCACCGTTCAATACACCAATTAAGCCGATTTTGCAGTTGACTAACAGTTAAAAGAGGTTTTCATCAAAACGGGAGTAAAGACCAAGATCATGCAAATGAGTTCTAATGGTTTTTGTTGATATCTGAAGATCTGATTCAGCAAAGTCTTTTTGAATTTCATTAGCAGTTATTCGTGGTTTGTTCTCTACTATTTCCTTTAAATGATTCTTCGCATTTTCATCAAGCAAGGAAGGGCGGCCGCATCGTGGTGCACTATTGGTGCCTCCTTTAGTCTTGTAACGGGAAATTGTATCTTGAACAGTAGACTTAGGGTAACCGAGTTTTTTTGATATTTTACGCACCGATTGCCCATCTTCTGAAAGTGCAATAATTTTTGCACGTTCACATTCGGTAAGTTCTCTCCTATTCTTAACTGAAAGCTGGTTACTCATTCTCGCGCAATTTTTACGTAATGAATAAGAGAGATCGAAGAAAAACTTTGTTATTAATTGACTTTGTTTACATCAATATTCGCGACTGTTCCACTATAGAATGATTTACGGATGCTAAACTATTTATGGTAAAAATTCACAGTCATTTTATTATACATTATCCCGAGCAATATTCAAATATACAAAGTGTCCGGTGACTTTTTTCCACTGAGTGTATGTGTGATGTCCGTACAGTAACTATATTCTGTTATTCGGATGTGTGTTACAAATTTTGTATAAACTTTTTGGGCTCACCTAATATACTGTTGACATTGAACACACAAGGCATATGCGATTTGGTGCTGAAAGCATGATATAATTCTTGCAGCATTTTATTGCTGACGATGATCTAATAGATTAGCTTTTTATGGTATGACATTTTAAAAAAATACATATAGTTTTTTAGTAACTAGACACCAATCAGTGGCTGTGGCTTAGGTGATGTTGTAATATTACATTAACGTAGTGATAAGACAACATGGGGTGCCAAATTATATTCATACATTTATACGATAATTCCGAACATATGACATGAGAAAATCAGTACAGAGTTAAAATTGGGAAATTATTGATAGCACGCGTTGAGAATTAATCACCTTCTTTAATACACTCACTATTAGCCGTTTGTTTCTGTTGGCGAAAAGTTTATTGCTACATTTCAAGTAAAATGGTATACAATCTGACAAAAAGCATCCTAACTAGAACAAAAAAATATTTATAATATTTGAGTTATTGAATAAACTACCCTTTCCCATTTCCACAAAAAAAAAATAACAGTAATAACAACAAACAATGACAATAAAGTATAAATCGCTAGGACAACTAATAAATAAAGTTAAACGCAAATTTATCTCCCACACTCCTTCCTTTAAGCTGAGGATAGAGTGTTTCAGTAGGAAGATAGGGACTAATAGGGTGTTTCAGTAGGAGGATAGGTACTGCTAGAAGAATAGGTGCTGCTAGAAGAATAGGGTGTTTCAGCAGGAGGATAGGTACTGCTAGAAGAATAGGTACTGCTAGAAGAATAGGGTGTTGAAGTAGGAGGATAGGCACTAGGGGTATTGGTAGGGGTAGGGATAATGCATTTATTTTGATCTTTTATGACAACAGGTTCTACTGGTGCAACTCCCAAAATTCTCTCTGCACAGCGAGGATTATTATTGAATGCAAACTCTTCCACGACAAAGCAACATAGGCCTTTGATGGCGTTGATTGAACTAGCTGTTGATGTGAAGATTGGCAGGCCGAAAGACTGAGAGTCTAAGTCGATGCCGATAGCGTCGCCAGGTGTACGGCTTACATTGGCGTCACATTTGGCTACATGAATATCATAGAGAATTTCAACTGATCCGAAGGGGGGAGGGTTTGGCCCTGGTCCGTTTACCACACCATGAATATCAATAAAACCGCTGATTTGTAAAGTATTTTTGGGCGACTCCGTGAATGAGAGAAGACCGTTAAATGTGTTCGAATTGTAACCGGATCCACCATTTACAATACCGGTCGTACTAGTACTCAAACCCAAGGGATTTTCACCTTGCCTAAACACACATTTAGAGACAGGGCAGCATTCCTGATTATGAGGCCATTTTTTTTCAAGGGGGGTGGCATTGGCTGGTGTAAAGATTATGGCGAGGAGGGTAACCAAGAGAAAGATCAAGCAGACGATTTGGTTCATTTTGGATGGAATTTTTTGGATTCTTTGAAAGCTTGCCAGTTGACTGTTTGTCGTTGGAAAGTGAGGGAAAAGCCTCGGAATGCACTCGGTTTTATAGTTCTTGAACAAAACTTAATTGAGCTGGGCGTATTTCTCATCCGAAATGTATTGTCGAGTTACAATATTTCAATGTCAACAAAATAGTAGAAAGTGACGAGTCGAGTCTTTGGTGCACGATTATTTAAAAATAACGTGAGTTAAAATTAACTCTTATTTATTTGATATGATGATAAGACTAAGAACAAAAGCTTCTTTAGGAGTCGGGATATTTTTGAAAGATTTGTATCAAAAAAGCTTGGCAAATTTTTTAATAGTCTTTTTACAATTATGATGCCAATCTATTAATAGAAATAGAAGCAAGAATTTGTTCAAATTTGGGTTTTCTTTACGTTTTGGTGTTTGACCGTTAAACGAAATTCCAAAACCAATTTAACAGTAACAACGAGCAATTCCACTCACTTGTGTTATTGAATCAAATACTATACGGAAGTTTGACAATAGAACTTGTGTATAATATTATCACTGTTTCTAGTAAACACGCGTATTAATGAGAAAAAAAAATTCGCTATATAAATTACCAAATGGAGATAGTCTGTATTTATCTTTGGCTAGTACAAATTTGACTCAACAATCATTCGTTGATAAAAACGACGTAAAGTTATTTTAGGTAGATTAAGATCATGAGATAATCAAAAATTCTGTAGGTTCAAGTCATAAAAAAGTACGCCCTGGCCATCATGGGTCCTCCTGCAGAACATTAGTCTTTATCAAGCAAGCACAATCATGAGCTTTGCGTATTTGTGTATCAAAGTTAAGTGCAATTTGTCTCCTAAGGCTTGCATTCTAACATGAGAAGCTAAAAACGAGAGCCAAAGAAAATTTTTTTCTTTATGGTCTGCACGAGCTACTGGTACGTACGAACATCCGTTCTGATTTGAAGAGAAGCAACAAAATTAGGCTTTTTGCTTGTACGTGTATACGCTCACTTTCCCCATGTTTATGAGAGAACCCATTCAACTTTTGCAAACAAATAAACTCTATTGTATAATACTTTATTTCCAAGGCAAACAAATAATTCTGACACGGATCGAGTACATTTCGTAACACTAAACAGCAGATATAGTAAATAGATCGTTGATCAACTGAAAATATTTTTAAGTGTTTATATGCAAAACAGAATTGATGGCGGCATTGTGAAACTGCATGTTTTTTTGATATACCCAATAGGCTTTCGCACATTTGACGTAACATCAATTGACTATTATATTATGCACGCTTATCCATGTTTGGTAACAGCTCTCAATTAAATGTTTTTTTCAATCCGTAACAATTAATTTGTATTTGTACTTAAATGTTTTACATCAGCAGCTTTATTAAAGATCTACAACACTAGTCCGTTTTGTTTAATTCTTTTTTCACAATTATGGGCGTATATGATATTACAATCTTTCAAAACAGAACCGTGAATAGCAGCGGAAATAACCGAGACGGTGATTTAAAAATAGCACGAGCTAAAAATAAACGATTTCATTGGTGTATAGTAATGATAGAGCTGCGAACAAAAATCTCTGCTGCGATGAGTGTTACTCACAGACACGCCATCAGATCTGTAGTCATCTTATTTCTATTCATATTGTCACCAAACCCACTTCCACGTCAAATAATTTTTTTGCTGTATGTAGACCAAATGGTTTATATGACTACGTATTCTTGCTATTTTTGTTAAAAGTCTGACTTTTTACCTGCGATGGACAATAATTTACTATCAGCTGATTAGACAAAATTTTGCATTCTGTGTTGAGGTTTAGATATTAATAATAAAGCGGCATGCAACATACTGCATAACAGCATTTTTTTATTCAAAATATTACATAATAGTATTAAGCAGCCCTTAACAATGATGCAAGCAAACGATCTATTTGCAGCGGGCGGAACACTAAATGGTACTAGCATGCAGGTAACAAATAAGTCTATATTTGTATAACGCACACTATTAACTTGCAGCAGAAAGGAAAATACTATCAAACCAGATAATTTCTGCAAGAATTCGGTAAACTTTAAAGACTTAACTAGTTTTTGAGACTATCGCTCCTTTACTCTGCGAGAACTGATTGACGGCTTGTAACAGTATTAGTTTTTCTTGGCAAGACAGACCATGCCGAAAGCAGTGGATAGACGTAGGTAAAAGTTGAATTGCAAGACGGTTTTTGATAGTGATGATGAATTGTAACCAAGAGTTGTATTCAATAGATAGTCAGGTGTAGATATATTAAGGGTAGTATTGTCAACACGGAATATACGTCAGATTGTAATTATAGCATGAATGTATAAATCTAGTTCAGCATTCTACTTCAGTCTTTATCGCTATGTCAAGTATTAGATATGTTGGATTCGTATTAATACCATAGTATTACTTAACTATACAAGAGACAGATGATATACGGTCACGATATTGCAATAAAGCCAAGGATAATCCGTCAACTAGCGTGCCAACCAAACAGGCGTATACATTATCAGTGAAAGACATAAGCTCCTCATTTTTGGTTGGTAAACATGTTGAAAATTAATACAAGCATGTCTTATCCAATGTTGATATGTATTTAGTGCTGAAAGAGAGAGCGAGCGTGTGCATGCATGTGTTAGTTTATTAATATTTTTT